TATGTGGCTGGAGCCCTAGCTGCCGAGCTACAGGCACCGAGCCCAGTTAATATATTTCATCATTGACTCTCTAGTGGTATCTTTAGTTCACAAGAGCACCCAGCAACTGCTTGCAGAAAACAGATAAGACTTTTATTTATTTACTTATTTTAGTTTTCTTGCTTACTATTCTTTATTACCAGATATTCTTTTATTTTTTTCCGCATTTTTTGGCCGGGGCTGGGTTTGAACCCACCACCTTCGGCATATGGGGCTGGCGCCCTACCCTTTTGAGCCACAGGTGCCGCCCAGATAAGACTTTTAGAGAAGAGGAGAACCCAAAGCAGAAAATTAGTCCTTAGCTGTCGTGCCCGAATGACATAAATGTAATGTTTGTGAGCAGGTCAAGCCTGTTTCAGGATGTTGCTGGCATGAAGTGAATTTAGGTTGGCTACACCGATAAGCATAGTTAGCAATGGTGTCCCCTCACTGTTTATAAGATTTTGATGTAAACTCTGCTAGTGAGGTTTTGGAGAGACTCCATCCAGTTGCTGACAGAATGCCTGGTCCCTTCTAATAAGAGTTAAATCCTGATCACGTCACAGCCCTTTGGTTTCCTTACCCACTTTCCTGCCTTGCCCTGCTTTGCCCAATTCACTCAGAGTATTTACTAAGTTGAAAGTCCTTGAAAAGGTTAAAAGATTTTTAAAAATCTTTTTTAGGGTGAATAAAAATTAAATATAAGGAAAAACCACTAATTCTCCCTTGTAAGAGAAAAAACAAAAAGAATTACTTTCTCCCTTCTTAGAGCATTATCTGTAGAAAACATGAAGGTGCCAGTTCTTTCTCTGAGATGCAAATCAATTTAAAAGCTATTTGCCAGTTTGACCACCCAGGACTATCTTCCCAAGCACCTGCCAGCCAACTCTTTGAAATGTGAGTATCAGGAAGACAGACCCCTCCCTTCCAGTCTGAAAGTGGAAGCATAACTTAGGATCTCTAACTTTCAACAAGCACCTCTCTCTACGTTGCAAACCTTCCACTCATCATAAAAACATGGAAGTTTCTTTTCCTCTGGAAACGCTGATGGCTATCGTGTGAATTTAGGATAAATGATATGTGACAAATGAAGCTGCTGAGTTCGTTTACTTGAAGACTAATTATGGTTTGTCTTGAGACACATGTGCATTGGGCTGTGTCTGCCCAGCTACATAACGAGGTGTGATCTCTGAGCGGATTCTTTGTGATACAGACCACATTCTGGTTTGGTGCATATTCAATATTTTTTTCATATGTATATATTTATTTATTATATATGCACATATATAGTCCATATAAAAGTACACAAACATCTTAAAAGATTCAGACATGTTATAAGGATTATTTCTAGGGGATAGGGTGCTAAATAATTTTGTTCTTTTCCTCTTTCTCATCCATAATCTTCTATAATCTTATTTCTCTATGGTGAGCATGTTTTGTTCAAGTAATTATTTTAAAATAAGAAAAGGATCCAGATCACACCCCTAAACCCAGTTAGGCAAGCACTTTGATTTTCTGGCCTGGAGGCTGGGAGAGCAGAGAGCTGAGCCCCTTGCAGACTCAGACTTGCTCCTTCTGGTGTTCAGCTGGTGCCGAGTTCTATTCCCCAGGTCTCAGCATTTTGTGAGACCACTCCAAGGAAGAGTGAGAAGTCAAGGCCAGGCAAGGAGTAGGCCTTAGAGAAGGGTGATGGGGGTGGGGGAACAGAGCCTAGGTGGTGCCTTCCTGACAGTGTCCACTGCCTAGACACCCAGCTGCCCCAATGGCTCAGCACAGGGAAGGGGTTTGGGGGTCAGACAGAGATTCCTTGGCTGTGTGATTGGGGTAAGTCAGGTTCTTGGGGCCTCAATTTCCTACCACTGGGATCCAGGGGTTCTGCTGACAGGTGGGGAGCAGCCACCCTCTTCGGCAATTGTTGCTGCCCATCAGGTCCTCCCCCTGTGCACCACCACCACACAGTGATGGCAGCAGCAAAGAAAAACAATGCCTGTTTGGCACACGAGCCATGGAATCAGGGACTTTCACAAAGGAAGGGAGCTCAGAAGTATCCCTGAAATTGCTCAGGACAACGAATGCTTATTTAGCACCTACCTGCCCTGTGGAAGCTTAAAATCAAGTAGGGGGAGACAGATGTGTAAGCAGACCATTTCAACAAGTCATGGGAAAGGCAACAGCAGAATCTGTACGGACTGGCCTGGGCACAGCACAGAGCTAGGACACAGGAGGAGGTCAGGGAAGACTTCCTGGAGGTGGTGACTCTCAAGTTGAGTCTTTAATGAAGAGTAGGGGTTAGCCAAGGGGAAGGAGAGGGCAATTGAGGCAAAGGTACAGGGACAGTGTGCAATTTATATAGCAGAAATACCATTCCAAGGGGAAAGAGAACACTCTACCTGCTTCTGTAGGATGGACTGAAGGGGAGAAGAGAGGAGCCTGAGGGCCAGAGTGGAGGCCATGGAGGCCTGCCCCAGGGCAGAGTGCAGGGATGCGGAGAAGGAAATGCAATTAAGGAGATGTAAGGAGCTAACACTGGCAGGACTCAGTGGACAATCAGGGTGAGCCCAGTCTTCCAGACTGGAGAGAATGGGAACGACTTCCAGGGTCCGATCTCGGGAGGGACAGGAGGAAGAGCTCAGAGAAGGGAGGAGGCAAGATGCGGGGGTACCAGGGGCAGGGCAAGAAGGAAACTCTATGAGGAGAAAGAGATAGGACTCAAGGCAAGGCTGGTGACTAGCACCTCAGAGCATCAACTGGCCCACTTTTCTCCTCTGATGCTTCTCTGTACCACTAGTGAATTCCAGAAGGGAAAAGATGGTGTCTTGCCTTTGAGGGGCCAGGACTTTAGCTGCAGACAACAAAGGTCACAGAGATTCTGGGAATCCTGGGAGATGCCACATTAGCAGGTGCTTTGGGGCCAGACCCAGGCTCCTCCCTGGCATTTCAAGGCTGTGCAGCCTTGGGCAAGTTAATTCACCTCTCTGAGCCTCAGTGATAGCAGAGGAACTGCTTCAGCATCCAGCCTTAAGGCCAGCACTGCATGAGCTAATAATGATGTATGTGAACTTCTGAGTGCTTTTACCTGGCAAACAGTAGGTGCTCAGGAAGTGACTGTGATTGTTATAATATTCATAAGTCAGAATCATCTCTCTCTGGCTTTGAAACCAGCAGGAGACACCAAGCCCAAGAGGCAAGATGATATAAGGAGATTTTAGGAATTAGCGGTCTTCAGAATTTGTGGTATACATCACTTCAGTTAATGCTCTCTTAGAGAAGTTGGCAGAATTTATAGGAATTGTAAGAATCATTGCAGCAACAACTGCCCTTGGCTTCCAGAAAATAAAGCCTTAGCAAGAAACACCATTCATTCTCTGAAGGGTAGAAGGAAGCAGTTATGGGACTGAGGTCCAAGCTGAGCCCATCTACTACCCCAGCCCTTTGCAAAAATCTCAGGCAAGCTGGAAGCCCCTGGGCTGGAATCCCTCCCGGTGTGGCTAGATAAAGTCCTAGTCCCTTAGCTCTGCACTCCCTACCCAAGACCCCTCTCAGGCCTGTCACTGGCTGTTCCTCTTGGCACATGTCTTGCTTCAGCAAGAATGGACACTGTACTATTCCCCACCAAGCCGTGCAGTGGCCTACTGTTGAGACCCTCTGCCTGCACTGCCCTTCCCTTCCTACGTTACTTTCAAGACCAAGCTCTCTGCAGCCCAGAGAGCACAGTTTTCCTCAGCACTCAGGACCCTGGATGGCAGGGGCTTGGACCAGCTCTGAACAACCACACCTTAGGCTCAGGGCCTGGAGGGGAGGGCTAGGTCCACGCTGGACTTATCTCCCTCTTACCGGGTGCAAACCTGGTGGGTGTGTGAGAAAGAAAAGAGATAAAATGGGGGAAGGGAAGGAGGAGAAGGGCAAGAAGGGAGAAAGGGAGATAAGAAAGAAAGCGAGGAAGGACTGACCAATCCCCAGATAATATAAAGAGTCTAAAATACCAAGTTTCAAAGTCCTTATCAGTATAAATGGGAAAACAGAACTCACTTCTCTAAACTGTTAAAGATTAAATGGAACAGGTTGGATTCAGTAGCTCATGGATATAATCCTAGCACTCTGGGAAGCCAAGGCAGAAAGATCCCTTGAGCTCAGGAGTTTGAGACCAGACTGAGGAAGAGTGAGACCCTCATCTCTACTAAAAATAGAAAAAATAGCCAGGCGTTGTGGCGGGTGCTGATAGTCTCAGCTACTCAATACATGTTCAATAATTAAACTGTTTTCTTTCTCTTCAACTTTTGTGAAGAGGTTTTCTGGGCATGAGAATGTTTTTAATTATTTTACCCATAGATCTTTAACAGTTGTTATGATGTGATGCTAACCAACCATCCCTACAGAGAGGAATGTGAGGACTCCTGGGATAGGACTGGTCTCAACCTAAGCCCATGTGTGATCCTGATCCCATAGCTGCTTTCTCTCACTGCTTTAGCCTTAACTGTGCAATCAGTTAAAAATAGAGGTGTTGTTGCCACACTCCCAACACTCAACCAGATAAACTGACACATAAACTCCACAGCGTCCCCACAGAGAGGCTCTGTCACATGGTGGAGAAAGGACAGCAGCACACCAGCCCAGAGTCACACCCTGAGAGGAGCTAGTTCAGGCCCTCTGTGGATGAACAGTGCCTTTCTAAACCTGGTTAGCAGGAACGTTCTAGAAGCAGAGCCTGTGAGAAGGGGCCTGAGGTTGTTGGGAGGATCAGGTGATCCAGAGACAGGTGCAGAGGGCCAGGAAGCTTGTGCCTGAAACTCTCCAGTCACAAGTGGGTTTTTCTGAGCCTGAGGATGGGGGACCTGTCATTCATCGATATGCTGGTCCTCCAAACACTGCTTGCTTTAAACAGTCATAAAAAGGAAATAGGAGGTGGCAGGATGGCTCAGGGCAGGCTGCAGAGAGGAAGTGACTGCTGAGGCTCCAGTTCAGACAGTGCACCCAGCTGGCTTTCAGGGTCCTGTTTTCATCAGTTTCCAGCTGACCCCAAGAGGCCTCTGCAGGAAGTGGGCCACTGTCCGTAATCTTTGTGTTTCTTCTGTTCCCGTGGTCAAGCCGTCACACCCTCCACTCCAGCTAGCGGCTGCTCTTTAACTGCATCTGCTCAGTGTCACCGGGACGGGTAAGCTGCCTTCCCCCAGACCAGGGTGCTGTGTCTGCTGCCACTCGCCTTCCAGAAAGAGCACCAGCCGACCAAGCCTCGCTGACCAGGGGGACCGGCCCAACAGCCGCTCCTGGTAAGGAGAAGCAGTTTATGCTCACAGAAGCTGTGGGGGCTGGAGGGATCACGGTTTGGCCCCAGCTGCTGATTCCTGATGTGACCTCGCACAGTTGCCAGTCTCAGGAGCTCTGGTCTTTTCTAGACATCATCAACCCCCTTGGTATCTTGCCTACAACTCATTTTAGCATCCCCGTTAGTATCTTTTTTGACCCACCTGTGGATACTTCCTTATTAGTAGCTGCCAGAAATCTATCCCCCAATGCCATCTGAATTACTGAGAACTACTGCTGCTGCCCATGGAACGTAGCCGAGTCTGACTGGCTGTTCTGACAGCCGTATTGCTGCATCTAGGTCACTGAGAACCAAGTCATGTAAAAGCACCAGGATGTTTTAAACTGAAGTGGTTCAATTCAGAAGCATTCCTTCCCTCTGCTATTTTATTTTATTTTAGTTTTATTGTTGGGGATTCATTGAGGGTATAAGAAACCAGGTTACACTCATTGCATTTGTTAGGTAAAGTCCCTCTTATAATCGTGTCTTGCCCCTAAACGGTGTGTCACACACCGAGACTCCACTCCCTTCCCTCTCTGTCCTTTACCTCTCCCCCATCCCCCTCCCTCCCTCTCTCTCTCTCTCTCTCTCTCTGCTCTCCCCTCCCCCCACACCCCACTGTGTACTAGGTCATTAATTGTCCTCATATCAAAATTGAATACATAGGATTCATGCTTCTCCATTCTTGTGATGCTTTACTAAGAATAATGCGTTCCACTTCCATTCAGGTTAATACAAAGGATGTAAAGTCCCCATCTTTTTAAATGGCTGACTAGTATTCCATGGTATATATATACCACAGCTTGTTAATCCATTCCTGGGTTGGTGGGCATTTAGCCTGTTTCCACACTTTGGTGATTGTAAATTGAGCTGCGATAAACTGTCTAGTGCAAGTGTCTTTATGGTAAAAGGATTTTTTTCCTTCTGGGTAGATGCCCAGTAATGGGATTGCAGGATCAAATGGGATGTCTAATTTGAGTTCTTTGAGGATTCTCCATACTTCCTTCCAAGAAGGTTACATTCGTTTGCAGTCCCACCAGCAGTGTAAAAGTGTTCCTTTCCCTCCACATCCACGCCAGTATCTGCAGTTTTGGGATTTTGTAATGTGAGCCATTCTTACTGGGGTTAGGTGATATCTCAGGGTGATTTTGATTTGCATTTCTCTAATAATTAGGGATGATGAGCATTTTTTCATATGTTTGCTAGCCATTTGTCTCTCTTCTTGAGAGAAGTTTCTATTCATGTCTCTTGCCCAGTGATATATGGGATTGTTGACTTTTTTCATGTGGATTAATTTGAGTTCTCTATAGATCCTAGTTATCAAGCTTTTGTCTGATTCAAAATATGCAAGTATCCTTTCCCAATTGTGTAGGTTGTCTATTTCTTTTGGTCATTGTCTCCTTAGCTGTATAGAAGCTTTTCAGTTTAATTAAGTCCCATTGTTTATTTTTGTTGTTGTTGCAATTGCTAAGGCAGTCTTCTTCATGAAGTCTTTCCCCAGGCCAATATCTTCCAGTGTTTTTCCTATGCCTTCTTTGAGGGTTTTTTTTTTTTTTTATCATTTCATGCTGTAAATTTAAGTTTTTTATCCATCTTGAGTGGAGAAAGGTGTAGGTCCAGTTTTGGTTTTACATGTGGATATCCAGTTTTCCCAGCACCATTTATTGAATAGGGAGTCTTTCTCCCAGCGTACGTTCTTGTTTGGTTTATTGAATATTAGGTGGCTGTACGATGTTAGTTTCAATTCCTGGTTTTCTATTCGATTCCAAATGTCTCTGTCTATTTTTGTGCCAGTACCATACTGTTTTGACCACTATGGCCTTGTAGTACAGCCTAAAATCTGGTATGCTGATGCCCCGGCTTTGTTTTTATTACTAAGAACTGCCTTACCTATACGGGCTTTTTTCTGGTTCCAAACAAAACAAATAATTATTTTTTCCAAGTCTTGAGTGTACGATGTTAGCATTTTGGTAGCGATGGCATTGAATCTGTAGATTGCATTGGGAAGTATAGACATTTTAACAATATTGATTCTTCCCAGCCATGAGCATAATATGTTCTTCCATTTATTAATATCCTCTGCTATTTCTTTTCTTTGCTAGTTCATTTTTGAATACTGTTTTTTAAAATGCATTCAAGGTTTTGCAATACCATTCTCTGTGCTGGTTTTAGGGCAGGCTTCCAGGGTGTCTGCATCAATTTGAGTCTTGACTGTGGGGTGGAGGCATTGTGTGTGGTGTTCCCAGAGGCTTGTTGACTTATCTGGAATAGTGTCTCCCCACCACTCTGTGGAATCAAGGAAAATACACAGGTAAAAGGAGCTATTTTATGATATTAGCTCCATGACATATATATGATCTTGGGCAGATCATCAGATGCTGTTTTCTAATATTTTAATAGAAATTTTTTCCCTAGCCCTTGGCAACCACTGATACATTTTCTATCTACTTTCAAGTAAATGGAATAATACAAACAAAGAGAAGAATAATTAAAAAAAAATAAAATGTAATACTAATCTTGATCACTTTATAAGGAATTTAGGAGAACAACTGAAATAATGAACATGAAAAAAACTTGAAAACTATAAATGGCTGCACGGAGGGTTGTCCAGCTGGTGAAGTTCATCAGCAGCACAGCACCATGTCAGTGGGTTGATACCAGAACTCAGAAAAGGTCATCCAGAGTAGAAAAGATGTCAGAGACTTGGGGCACTTTTAGCAAAAGCCAGGGTATAGTTTACCAGAGACAAAAGCACTGCATGGGAGGTGGCTGTGGTGCCAATGCCCTTCTATGGGCTGAGGGAAAACAGAAAAGGGAGAGAAGGGGAAGAGGAGAAGAAGAGATGGGAGGGGGCGGTGGAGGGAAGGGCGTGAGGAAGCTGCCATAATGTGTTTTGATAATGTGAAAATGGACGGTTTACTCAAACAGGGCCAGGAAAATCCACTGAAAGAATAGAAAAATGTACAGAAGACAGAAATAGCAGAATCAACTTAATTTTTTAATTTTTAATTTTTTTTTTTTGAGACAGAGCCTCAAGCTATCCCCCTGGGTAGAGTGCCATGGCATCACAGCTCACAGCAACCTTCAACTCAACACAGGCTCAAGCAAGTCTCCTGCCTCAGCCTCCCAAGTAGCTGGGACCACAGGCACCCGCAACAATGCCTGGCTATTTTTTGGTTGTAGCCATCGTTGTTGTTTTGGCGGGCCCGGGCTGGATTCAAACCCGCCACCTTAGGTGTATGTGGCTGGCGCCTTCGCCACTTGAGCCACAGGTGCTGAGCCAGAACCAACTTAAATAGCAAATAAAGTATGAGAACTATTTTAATTCAATGGTAATCAGTAAAATGGAAGTTTAACCCAATTAAGATATCCTTACTTATGCACATAAAGGTGACAAGAAATTAAAAGTATGGTTTCACCAAGTGCCTATGAAGATTTTGGAAATAATTCTTCTTCTTTCTTCTTTCTTCTTCCTCTTCCTCTTCTTCTTCTTCTTCTTCTTTCTCCCTATTATTGGTTACATTTTATTCCTTACAGATTTTGGAAATTCTTACATGTAGGTGGTACAAACATGAGTTAGCACAACCCCCTTGGAGTCATATGTGGCAATATCCAGGTCAGGTGGGAGATGTATATCCCAGATAAGCCACTGTGCATCCCAGATAAGCCACTGTGCAATGCTGGATTTTGCTGCATGAGCAGGGGATGAGGTCATCTTGAATTGGTCCTGAACATGATGCTTTCTCTTCAACTGCTGCTTCACCTTCTCTCCACCAGGTCTAGGGGTGAAGGCAGTCATGCTTCATCCTGTCCCCCTGCACGATTCCCTCTCATGACAGTAACTGGAGCTCCCAACCCCCACTGGGAAGTACATTGAACCTTCCTCTTTGTCACTTTGTCCTCTGAGTTCATCTGACACAAAGAGTCTCAGGGTCTGGAAATCCCCAGTACTTTAAACAAAACAATGTTATTGACTGCAAGGCAACTATTTTTTCTTCATTCTGGGAAGTTCACCTAGTTTGTTTCCAATTTTTTTTTTAAAATCTCCCACTATATTGTTCCATAGAAGAATGCTTTCTTCATTTCTAGCCTTTCAAGTTGGGGGGAGATAATCCAAACATTTCCTCCTTCTCTGTAAGCTGAGAAGAAGAAAGGCAGCAGGGCATTGTGTTAGCATAACCTGGCCTTGTCTGGTTTGCTTAAAATTATTTGTAGATGTTTGAAAATAAAAATGTGTTAGAAAATTAGCAATGCTAACAAGGGTACAAGTGAACTTTTCTAGAACTAGAGTATAAATGTTTTAACACAATAACTAAGTAAATGACACAAAGTCTATGTTAACCAGTTTGATGAAAATATTTTAAATTGTATATGAAAACACTACACTGTACCCCATGTTTGCATTAGTGTATACAGCTATCATTTAATAATTAAAAAAAAAAGAAAATTAGCAATGGAAGTGGATCATGTAAGGGTAATAATTCTTAGTTACCTGATTGAGCTGCTCTCAGACCCTACCAGCTCCCACATGGACACTTGTTTTTTATCTTTTTTCCAATTTTTCTTCCAGAACAGAATGGAAGGGCCCCAGAAGAGCAGTTATGGAACACTGGCTGAAGGTAAGAAACCTGTGATGTTCTCAAGAGTTCCAACCACTTGGAGAGTCACGATTCTCTCCCTTCCTACCCCCTGCCTCAAAGACAATGGCAGGAACCCAGTTACTTTCAACCAAAGAAGAAAAGGACAACTATCACTGGGCTTTACCTTCCTAATCCTCTTGTGCCCCACACACCATTGTCATCACACACACACCTGCACACACATGTCCCCTCTCTCCCTGCACAGGGTACAAGGGAAACAAGAATGAAACTCAAAGTCAAAGGTCAGAGGGGCCAGAGCCAAGTCATGAATGTGGTTTCTCTGTCCTCATGTGCTCTCAGCTGAAAGGAGGGAAAGTCCTCCATCGAGGTTCAGCCATGGTGTTTGCTACAAAGTGCCACAGAATACGTAGGTAAAGGAAGAACCAACACAGAAGAGGAGGAATAAAATAATCGGTTCTTAGGAGCCTAAAATGCACTTAGAATGCATGTGAGCATTCTAGCATTCATTTGTAGCAACTCTAGAAATCCTCAGTTTCTTCCCATCTCCATGCCTTGAAGATTCTAACTCTTGGCTCAGTGTGGCCCCTTCCATCACCACTTTTGTTACGATTTCCTGCACTTCAATTAACAAAATAGATGATCTTGCCATGAGCTTCTAATGGTCTAATCTTATGCCCTCTTCAGCCATCCATCCTAAGGTCATGTCCTAAATGTTGTCCTGACATAAATTCAACTTTATCATCTCTAGCATGCCACTTCCCATCCAAAGAACACAGGTCCAAGAACATACAGCTGGCCATTGATGGGGGAGAGGGGGTTGTCATTGTCGCTTTGTGACCCCCTGACCCTCATACCAGGATAAATGTGCTGGGCACATCAATGCAAGAGTGCCAGGGAATTTGTGGGTGGAAGAAAGTTAATCGTATATTCTTACTTCTCATCCTCTACTTCCTTCCAGTCTCAGAACATTTACTTACTAACCAGTTCTCTGTGGAGCTGGCCTGAGCACCACACAGGGAAAAGCACCCTGAACACTCTCCTTCCAGAAGAACTCTGTTTGTCAGGATGCAGATGAAGTGCTCACACACCTGCCTAGTGTGACTCCTGGCTATGGGTCAAAGCATGGGCTGCCATCAGGGCTTCCTATATCCAAGAACCATTTTTCTATGCAACTAAATATGCCTGCCATTCTGGGGGAGGGCCATGGCTTTCACCAGCTACCCAGAGGATCCATGACCTCACAGTCTTAAGAATCACTGACTTAGTAAGACACAAAATCTTCTTTTAATAGGTAGAGTAGAAGATAACTGGTATGCAACATCATCTTCATTGAGGAAGAGACGAGGAGCCAAAACAGCAAAACAGAAGAGCGCAACAGCGAAAAACAGAACAGCACACACACCCAGACACTACAAGAGGCCAACCGGGCAACCCACCAAGAAACCACAAAGGGACACAGACACACAGAACCAGAGAAACAGACGAACAGCCGAGACACCCACAAACCCCCAAGCCAAGACCCAAACGCAAAAGACCAACAAAGACACCAGGAAATCAGACACGCCCACCGCCCCCCGGCCCCACGGCCCCACCCGGGGCACCCAGCGACCCAGCTGCACCGCCCACGAGCCCAGGACCGGGAGGACGGGAAAAGAGGGAAGGAGGGCAGGGGGCAAGAGACAAGGAAACACCCCATCAACCCACACACAAAAAGGAAAGACCGAGACAGTGAGACATTATGTGGCGAACACCGACAACCACAGCCTGAAGCGCCTGGTGCGGGAGAGTGAGTGGAGGTACTGCGCCTTCAACAACAGGGCCACGAGGGAGGAGCAGCGGCGGCAGCTGGAGGAGCTCATGGCTGTGGTGGAGAGACTGGAGCGGGAGCGCGAGGGCTCCTTCTATAGCAACGGCCTGTTCCTCGATGCTGAGATGCTGCAGCGAGGCAGGGACGGCCCCTGCCGGGAAGACTACAGGCAGTACCTGGGCAAGGTGAGGCAGCAGGTGGAAAAGCAGAAGCGAGAGCTGAGAGAGGAGGAGAGTAACTGGGCGGCCAAGGCGCTGCTCAGGGCCCGGCGCTGCGTGGCTTCACACATGTTAATATCTGTCCTTCTTGCCATAGGTGCTCTGATTTTTATTGTCATTTTAATTGCCTTGTCTACTTCTCATGGATAGTCAGCATTTTCAGGTGATTTCTACCATCTATCTCTCCATTTTCTTTTTCAGAGTACATACAGCGCTTTGCTTTTTGTATAACTTCATTCCCAATTTCCTTTCTTGGATGACTTCAAGTGCTTTTAAGTAAATAAAATACAGAGGAAAAAGTTTTTTCTCTTTTCTTTTGTTAAAAATTGTGAGGGTGATAATGAACTAACTGGATGCTACCATGGGATACCGAGGACTCACAAGAAGGAAGATGTGTGGGCTGTGATGCTCTGAGAATATCTCACTCCTGGGCCCTACTTTCTATAGTTGAGATGTCAAGGGAGAAAGCATGTTATTTGAAAAGCTAATAGCAGAATAATTTCCCCCCCCCATATTGTCTAGCTCTGTCACTCAGGCTGTCTTCACACCTCACTACAGCCTTGAATTCCTGGGCTCAAGTGATCCTCCCATCTCAGCCTCCTAATTAGCTGGGACTGCAGGCATACACTACTATGCCAGGGTTACTGTTAATTTTTTTTTTATTAAATCATAGCTGTGTACATTAATATATTTATGGGGTACAATGTGTTGGTTTTATATACAATTTGAAATACTTACAATAAACTGGTTAACATAACCTTCACTGCACTTTCTTAATTATCGTGTTAAGACATTTATACTCTATACTTAGTAGATTTAACATATGCCCTTGTAAAATGTACCATAGGTGTGGTGTGACCAATTACTCTCCCTCCACCCATCTTCCCTCCTCTCCTCTGTCCCCTTCATCTTGGGCTTAGTTGGGTTATAGCATTCATATGGAAGTGTTGGTGATTATATGTTGGTTTCATATATAAACACCAACACTTGATGATTACTCACCAACTGTAGAGCTCAGCATATTGAATACTTTTTCTTCCATTCTTGGGATACTTTACTAAGAAGAATATGTTCCAGCTCCATCCATGTTAAATTTTTTTTTATTGAGATGGGTATCTTATTATGTTATCCAGGCTGGTCTCAAACTCCTGAACTCAAGCAATCCTCCTGCCTTGGCCTCCCAAAATGCTGAGATTATAGGTGTTAGCCACCAAGCCCAGTCTGAACGCCTTATTTAAATCATAAATATCCTGATTCCATTATGGGCTGGATAGATAAGAGAATGCCCCATCGTCACCCCCACCTCCCAGAGCACAGATGTTTAGTACTGTCCACTGAACTGCCAGGGGTATGGAGGTGTGGAAGAGGTCAGGAGAGATAGTCCCTGGACACAGGGGAAGAGGAGCAGGTGTCAGCAGCAGTGTGGGGCTCTGCCTCCAGGAATGCAGGATCAGCGGCTGGGAAATGGGGGAACTGGGATGTGATGTGCTGGTGCAAGAGCTGCTGCTTAGGCTCAGCAGAATAGTAGACTCTCCTCTACTTGATTCTGTCCTTTGTGAACAAAAGTTCTCTGGAAAGGAATTGGAAGGAAGAGACTTTATTTGCCAACCAGAAAGAGGCAGCCTCTGGTGTGAGGGGGGACAAAGAAGAAGCTAGGGTTTTGTAGTGAGAAGTCCTGTCCAGGTTCCGGATCAGGTCCATTTGTACAAATGAAGAATAGAAATTTACTTCATTCTTATTGGTTGATGCAGCTGAGTTCTGACTGATCTATATGGCTGAGCCCTGAAAATCCCAGAGTTAAGTAGCCATGTGGGTTATTTGGCAAACTGGGAGTATTTGTGTGATCTCTAGTCAGCAAATGGTTGCTTGGCTCTATTTAAAATTTAGGCCCATGTAGGCGTGAATTAGACCATCTACTGGCTTCATATTAGTATTGAGTACATTGGATATTTCCTTTCCCATTCTTATAATACTTTACTGAGAAGAAAGTGTTTCAGCTTCATCCAGGTTAATCCAACAGATGTAGTCACCATCTTTTTATGGCTGAATAGTGTTCCATACTATACATAGACTACAGTTTGTTAATCCATTCCTGAGTTAATGGGCATTTAGATTGTTACCACATCTTGGTGAGTATAAATTGGTCTACAATAAACAATTTAGTGCAAATGTCTCTAAGGTAAAAGGATTTTTTTTTTCTTCTAGGTAGATGCCTAGTAGATCTAGGGATTGTGAGGTCAAACAGGAGATCTAATTTGAGTTCTTTGATGATTTGGCATACTTCTTCTCAAAGAGGTTGTATTAGTTTCCAGTTGCACCATCAGTGTAAAAATGTTCCCCTCCTTCTGCATCCATGCCAGCGTCTGGTGTTTTGGGACTTTGTGATGTGGACTAATCTTGCTGGGGTTAGGTGATATCTTGGGGTGGTTTTGATTTGCATTTCTCTGATGACTAGGGATGAGGAGCATTTTTTCATAAATGCTCTCATTTTTCATAGGGAAATAAGTGAGAGGGAAAAGTGGGGGTTGGGGGTTCTCCCACTTAATGGGCACAATGTAGGGGTATATGCCCCACTTCTTAGGTGTGGGACACAACTACAAGAAGGACTATACCTAACAAATTCAAATAGTGTGAGCTTGTCATTTGTACCCTCTCATTAACCTGAAATTAAAAAAATGAAATAAAATAAAATATAAATTTAGGCCCAGTTAGCCAGCAGGAGCCCGTCTTGAAGGATTAGCTCTTCCAGGTTCACCTTTGTCCCACACCTTATAAGCAAAAGTCATGAAGAAGATAAAGAAGATGTAGTTGACAGGCTAGGCTTGTGTTCCCACAGAACCTTATGAAAGGTGAATTTTGAATTTCACGGAACTTTCACGTGTGCAGATGAAAGAGTGTTCTTCTGATTCTTCAGCCACTGACAAATGTGAAAGCCCCTCTTAGCTCACAAACTCACAGGCCCAGAGCCCGATTTGGATCAGGTGCTCTCGTCTGTTTCAGAGTAAATTTTGCTCTGCTGGCTGTGCTACATTGTAAAGTGACATCCTTAACCTCAAACTCAATGAAATCCAGTCGAATCTCCTGTGATGTCTGCAGGAATTTGGGGAAAGTGTAGCATTTCACATTATTATTTTTTTTTAGAGACAAGCTGGAGTTCAGAGTGCAGTGGACATTTGTAGGTACAATTATGGCACACTACAGCCACGAACTACTGGGTTCAAGTGAGCCTCACTGCTCAGCCTCCTGAGTAGCTGGGACTACAGGCATGCACCATCTCACTTGGCCCCAGAGTTGCACACCTTATAGTAGCAAGGAGAAGAAGGCAGACACCAGAGGCTGAGCTTCAGTGGAAATGAAACCAGATAAGGGGTCCTTGGGATCCCTTCACCACTTCTTCTCCTTGTGGGCAGCTGCTCCCTTCTGTGCTCCTTGGTAGGAGAGACCTGAAGTTATCCTAGCCAGCCTGTGACCAGGTGGGTGGCAGGTGCCTAAGTACAGGGTGAGTCTTAGGAACTCAACTGTGATCTCACTTAGCATCATTCTCCAGCACCACTGTTGGCAATAAAGCTCCAACTTGGTCTCTACCACTCTCACTCCTGCATCTAGTGAAGAACTGATTCCAAACACATGCAGGGCAGGCTCTGTGTGACCTCGCCACGTTGGTTATGTATCACTGCTCAGACCAAGGAACACCTACCTCCTCAAAGCAGTGTTCCCACACTGCTCTGGCATAACCTGGCTCAGAGGCAATTCACACGAGTACTGTGTCAGGATTGGTTGGTGCCCGGCACCAGGAATGTAAAGTAAAGAATGCCAGGTTTCTGCTCCACAAGCATTATTATGGGGTGGGTGGACAAAGGAATATAAAAATGGGGTTATAGGAGAAGTTTTCTTTTGGAAATGATGTCAGCTAAAAGGAGACCACAGCAGGTTTTGCAGATGCTTCAGCTGGCCAGGACTGTGCCTGCCTCTCAAAGGAAGTCACAAGAGGCTGAGGGGCCCATGACGATGGATAGAGAGTGAGGATCAGCACACGGGAGGAGGGTGCAGGGAGGGATGTGGCCAGGCAGGGCCCTGAGCTTCACCCTTGGGATTCCAGGGTGACCTCCTAAGTAACAGGATGTCACTGGAGGCTATTGAACGGGTGGGTCTACCTTGGGAATGTCAGGCTGGATTATCTAAATGTCAGCCTGGAGACATAGGTAACATTTAGAGCAGCGGTTCTCAACCTCCCTAATGCCATGGTCCTTTAATACAGTTCCTGATGTTGTTGTGACCCACAACCATAAAATTATTTTTGTTGCATAGTAGCATAGGCGCAATAAAAATAATTTTATGGTTGGGAGGTCACCACAACATGTGGAATTGTATTAAAGGGTCATGGCATTAGGAAGGTTGAGAACCACTGATTTAGAGGGAAAGAATTCCATGTCAGCCATCAGCACCTGCACTGCGACAGCAATGGGGACAGAGGAGACAGATACAGGGACACTGTGGAGGGGGGTCAGGCGGCATGGTCACCAAGCACAACCCCTCAGGGAGTGGACTGGGTTCTATCCATGACTCCCTTTGCTGCGGTGGCCCTTCTGAAGGAAAGTGTGTTGAGCAGAGGAACACAAAGACTTTGGATCAGGGCGTGCTGGCCTTGAAGCTTTCTGGGGCATCATTGTTTCAGCAGACAACGGGTGGGCTCATCCTCCCTCCAGGGAAGGCATTCTGACTAGGTATAAACTTGGCCCCAAGCAAGTATTAGAGAGCAGGGCTGGTGGAGTAGAGACTGTCCTGGCTGTGGATTGCTTGTTCTTAGGCCTCAGTCTGCTAATGGGGTCATTGGTACCAGGAGCAGAGTTCCTAGCATCCACCCACTGGCTTCCAGGGGGCTAGAACTAGAGGGGTGATCCAAGGACATGCATGAAAGCTTTCCAGAGTGACTCTTTGGAGAGTGTTTGAATGTGAGCTCTGGGTCTCTTGGGCTTCCTGCCAAATGGTGAAAAAAACTCAGTTAGCCATGCATGGTGCTAATCACATTTCCTCTGCCCTCTGCCACTCCTGTTCATTGAAATAATCCAACTAAAAGTGTTTCCCTTTATTCACTTTATTCAGATGAGCAAACATCTATCATGTAGCAGGCACCTTAGTAAGAGAAGGAGCATCTTCCTAATCTCAGGACCAAGAAAAGACAAACCCGCTCATTTATTCCAGACACCCTTTCCTCAGAGGAAGCATGAGAACAGATTTAATGGATAAAAAAGGAACATGCAGAACACTTCATTCATCCAAATGTTTTCAAATACAGGTAAGAGGACTGAAACTCAATTAGCTTAAATAATTAGGAACGTATTGGCTAACATAACTGCAAATCCAGAGATACAGGGCTTCAGGGATGGGCGGGGGTGATTCTGGGGCCCAGGTTGGCTCCATCTCTCTATTCTGCTTTGAAGTGCTGCCTCCCACCCCAGGTTGGTAGCATGATGACTGCCAAAGTCCCAAGCTTCACACGCTGACCCAACAACACCCAGAGGAAGAAGAGAGACTGTCTATTTCTGTTGGTCCCTCCTAGGAAAGGAGAAATCTTCCACCTCTACAGACTCTTACTTCTCACTGGTCTGCCCTGGTGCAGGCACTGGCAGAGAGAATGGGATTGTCTTTAGACCAGTTCAGCCTCTTTGCAGCTGAGGCACCTGGCTCCATGTGGGATAGGGGAGGCCTGAACCAAACCAAACTCTGTAAGGAAGAAGGGGAGAGAAAATGGCACAGATAATAAGCAGCGCCCTCTCCACACCCTGAGAATCTGTTTCTGAACTGAAACAATGAATCCGTGAGCTGATACTTTAGAAATGCTTTAAAACACAAAGTATTAAAGATGGTAAAAGATGATTACAAAAATAAGGAGAAAAAGCAAGGTGCACCAAACAATAACACCACAAGTCTCATAATGAGAAGCCACCCAGCGCCGGGCCCTGAGCAGCGCCTTGGCCGCCCAGTTACTCTCCTCCTCTCTCAGCTCTCGCTTCTGCTTTTCCACCTGCTGCCTCACCTTGCCCAGGTACTGCCTGTAGTCTTCCCGGCAGGGGCCGTCCCTGCCTCGCTGCAGCATCTCAGCATCGAGGAACAGGCAGTTGCTATAGAAGGAGCCCTCGCGCTCCCGCTCCAGTCTCTCCACCACAGCCATGAGCTCCTCCAGCTGCCGCCGCTGCTCCTCCCCCGTGGCCCTGTTGTTGAAGGCGCAGAACCTCCACCCGCACTCCCGCACCAGGCGCTTCAGGCTGTGGTTGTCCGTGTTTGCCACATAATCTTTCAAGGTCTCACTCTCTAAGTCTTCCCTGTGGGTGAAGAGGATGATGACGTGTCTCATGACCCCTACCCCAAAGACCTCCTTCACCCTCCTCACGGCCACCACATCCTGGGCCGTGAAGCGCCCCAGCTGGGTCACCAGGAGAAGCACGTGGGGCCCCGGGGCAGAGAGCAGGTAGCAGTCCCCGATGTCCTGGTACATCTCTTGAGCCTGGGCCTTGACCTCGAAGATGGAGGGTGTATCGACCACCAGGATGTTCCTCCCGTTCCATGAGCCTGTCTCCCTCTGGCACTTCCTGGTCACTTCCCCGGGGGCCAACTTGGACTCAAACAGTGTCTGGCAGAGGATGCTGTTCCCTGTGGCGCTCTTCCCACAGCCTGTTTTGCCCACCAGAATCATTCTCAACATTGATGATCCTGGGGTTAAGCCCTCTTCTTTCTGGCCTGTCAGAGCACACGAAAAGCTGATGTGCAATATGGGCTTTTTGAAGAGAAGAACAAAAGGCAAAAAGGAAAAGACCCAGAACTGACATCCTGGATCAGTGAGGACACCACACCCTCTGTTCCCTTCATCTGATGGCACGTGTAGAGAATAAAGAGAACTTGCACAGGGATTATGGAATAAATTGCTCCAACTGGCAAGTCTTCCTTTGGGAGCTGCTAAATTCTGCCCCTTTCCAGAACCTTTTCTCTATTCAGTTCCCACCCCTCAGGATCAGTTTTCTCTGGCCATTGAGTTGTTTGTCTCGCCCATTCTACTTCTCTCATCCCGGCCTGGTCTCAGTTTTAGACAATGACAGAGTTTCATATGGAAAAACTCACCTTCACTAAGGACAGTATGACAGCCAATAGCTCAATACATCCTATGTCTTAGGGGGATATGCACTTTCTTTGTCCTAGGGTGAGTATAGGCTTGGATCTTTCACCATCAGGGAGGAATGTCAAGTGTCTCATGGCCCCTGCCCCAAAGACCTCCTTCACCCTCCTCACGGCTACCACATCCTGGTTGAGGTGGAGAGGCCTCCAAATGCAGCTTCCTTACCTGCAGGGAAGATGCCTTCTCCAACCTTCAGAAGCCCTTCCATTTTCTTCTAGAGGAGAAAACACAGAGGGGTTCACACTGGAGGTGGACATAATCTCCAACACCAAACAACAAAACACATTTTATAGCATGTTACAGATAAGGAAATTGAGGCAAGAATAAAAAATCCTTGCTCTGGGTTTGCTACCCTCCAATATTCTCAGCAGTGGTCAGAGCTTCCAGGTGAAAAATATACAGACAGCCCCAAAATGTAAGCACCTGCCGGTGTTTCCTGTGACCTACCAGCAGGTAGGAGGTGGTAAAAATGTGCCCTCCACCTGGAAGACCAAGCCAGTCAGTCATTCCCTACAGATCACCTGGCTGTCTGGGGCTCTTTTCTATCTTTAGGGTCGTAGGACTACTGTGCAAACCAATGTTTTCTGGCAAAGTATCTCCCTTCAGTCAAACTCATAAAGAAAATTCTTCCCTTGAGTTTCCATGATGATGATGGTACAAAGGGTGACCAACCACCCTGGCTAGCCCAGGACTGATCAAAGACAGTCAGTGCTGGAAATTGGGCAGTCCCAGGAAAACCAGAATGAACTGTTCACCAAGAGTAGGAGATTGTCCAGGTTGTGTGGAAGAACTGATTTGTTGACTCAGATCAATGTGTTGTGGTGTTTTTAGCTCAAACTGTCCCAGACCAGTAGCTACCTGAGGGGAATCTCTCATTAAGCCTCTCACCTTCTTTTCTCCCCCATAGACCTTTACTTAATCCTTGTCTCCCTCCTACCTCCTCCTTCTCATGCTCAGGTAGTCCACCAGATCCCACAGAAGAATGACTTCTCAGGCTTCCCTACCAGGAAAAACCTCCACGACCCTTTCCAAAGATGCATCAGAGGGGCCAGGTGCAGTGACTCATGCCTATAATCCTAGCACTCTGGGAGGCAGAGATGGGTGGAGCGCTTATGCTCAGGTATTTGAGACCAGCCTGAGCTAAGAACAAGACACTGTCTCTAAAAATAGCTAGGCATTGTGGCATGTGCCTATAGTCCCAGCTACGCAGGAGACTGAGGCAAGAGAATCACTTGAGCTCAAGAGTTTGAGATTGTTGTGAGCTATGACACCACAGCACTCTACAAAGGGTGACAAAGTGAGACTCGGTCTCAAAAGAAAAAAAAAACACAAATACCCATCAGGACCTTGATATATGCAAAGTTTTAGGGTATTTCCTTGTAACCTGTTCAAGAGGTCAACATTAAAGATGAGTCTCTAATGGTGGGATCTCAGCATTTAGGACAGGTCAACGGGGGGAAAAATTCTGGTTTTGGAATTAATGGATTTTCCAAATTATCCTTGCAATCATGCTCTATAAGATCCTACCTGGCCCCCTCACAGTGAAATTGCTCAGTGATCACCTTGGCAGAAAAAACAAACAAATAAATAATTTTGGAATCGTTTCAGCATAAGTACTAAATGTCAAAATCCAGCTTCTACCAGGCAGTTCCCTCATAATTTCTTTGTAACTCATTCCAAAGGTAGCAATTTCCTGCCTGTCAGAATCTCTCTATTCTTGCCCAGGTCTCATGGAGACTGATCTAATCTGGTTTGCAAGGTCTGTGCCAGAGTTGGCACAATTCATACAAGAGTTACCCACAGTACTGATTCTGTGACTCAGGCCCTGCTTTTACAGCCACCAAATGCTGGCTTTTTGGATGAAAACCAATCGCTGGGTATTTTTTCTCATCCTGACATCTGTGAAGGGGCCTTTCAAATTGTCTCATGCATCACTGGGCCATTGTACCCAGTAATCTAACCAAACACTAGCCTAGGTGTTGCCCTAAGGGTGTTTTGTGGATGTGGCTCACTTCTTAGTCAGGCTTACACTCTGTATAGCATAGGGGAATTGTCCAATCTGCTGAAGGCCTTGAGGGCAAAAACAGAGTTTTCCCAGAGCCTGCCATTGAGCCCTGCAGATTTTGGAATTGCCAGCCCTCACAATCACTGAACTATGTCCTTGTGAAATAAATCTATTAATATAATAGATAGATACACCCTGTTCTTTCTCTTTCTTTGCAGAAAGCTGGCCAGTAATCAAAGGTAATTCTACTGAAACTCAGAAAAAGAGGAAACTTGCCCTTAAGTCTCATCTTTGCCTTGTTCCCTTTGAGGATGGTATGGGGAGGATTGTTTTTTCAAAGATGTGATTGCATGGGGAGATGGCAAAGGCGGAAAGCAGCACTTTTTAAGGTATCAGTTTGTTTGAACGCTGGTGATTTTGACATCCAGACGCTGCTTCTAACTCTACCCCTCTACCTTCTCCACAGAGGGCCAGAGGGCAGAGGCTGCGGACATCGGAGGGACAAGAAGGTGCCAGGTGAGTGGTGGGACAGTGGAGAGTTGCGGGTGAGGGGCACAGAGGACGATCCCGGAAGAGCGCGGGAAGGGGTGAGATGTAGGGCTGAGAGTCTTGCCTCAGAGAGATGGGAGGGACCTCGGGGATACTGGGATACCACCCACTCCTCTCAAGTAGGAGAAACTACCACTTCCGGGGTTATGTAATACAACGTGGCGCGAAACCAGGTCTGCGCCCAAGACAGAGGGAAACAGGCCGCCGGGGCGACGCGCTTCTCCGGGCTCCGGGCTCCCTGTGCGCTGCGGGATCCCCGCGGAACGTGCGGGCCACCCAGGCGCGCGTCTGCGCAGGCGGCAGGAGCGGGCCATCCGCTCCAAGAACGAGAACCTGAAACTGCTGCTTTCTCAGAATCCAGCCTGGGCAGACAGAGAAGTGAAAACGGGGCCAGCTGCTTAGAAACATCGAACTTGTTCTCATTTTCCTCAATTATCGTTTTGAACATTTTTTTCCTCTCCGGCCTCGCGCTGCCTCTCTAGCCCAAACCGCCACCACTCCCGCCACGGCTTCATGGTTTTCCAGGGACATCGCCACCCTTGCTCGGTCCCTTGCAGGTAACCTGACCCAAGGCGCCTCCCCAGTCCCCAGAACGTCGCTTTCACGGTCCCGCTCCACAGCCCCTTCGTGGCTGGCCGACAACACCTCACTCAGTGTATACCCGTCAATCTTTCCATTTATTCACTTTGAATGTTATTATTAAACAATCTCCATTTGCTAGGCATTCCTCGCCCGTGGAGGATGGCTGGACCAGTTTAAAGACCATCTCCTGCCCCAGAATGGGAAATCATCACCTCTGAGCCAAGGACAGTGAAGAAGACCCCTCCACTCCTGGAAAGCCCCGCTGTCCGCAGAAGCCCCAGCGCAGCGGATGGGTGGGAGCCGGAGCCGCCCTTAAATGCTCTGAAGACGGTGACTCACCTTCAGGAGACTGTCTTACTCTCATTTGCCAGAAGTACTAATGATGTTCTACTTTCCTCCGAGTTCCACGTTGATTAAGAACACAACGTGCGGTTGTAAGAATCTGCCACTGTTAGATGGTTCTGAGCCAGAGTATTTCTCAGTAATAATGCCCTTGTCTTTATTTACTTATAATTTCAATCTGGCTAACTAGGTTTTAACTAATTCTTAAAAAAATATATTTATCTTTAGCAGAAAAAAGAAGCAAATGTTTTAAGTGAACAGATCAATTTCAGTCCTATTCCTGAAATTTTTCTCCCCTCTTTAAAATAGAAACCACTACCATTGGGTTGAGTGTAGTCAATGACACACAAAAAGCCACACAAATGAAAAAAGATGGAAATTCAAAAATAACTTTTCAACCTGTTCTTCAAAGAGCATCCCAGGACCTCTGGAGGTGGGGAAGGGGGAGAGGAGGTTCAGGGCATCTTCTCTTGCCCTCTTGCATGAGGAACCCCATATGTGCTGCCAGATAGGGGTGCAGCCACTATGTGTGCATAAGAAAATGCTTTTGCACAAACACAGAAAGAAGCTCCTGTATCACCGAAAGGATACTGTCTGAGCTCATTCTGTTCAAAATTCTGGGTTCTGAAAAATATAATAGCAGTAATGTCTTCAGTTTGCACTTATTTAGGACTTAAGGGTATAAAAGTCTTGATCCTAATTTAGGAAAAAAGGAACTGAGGTTTAGAAAGATCAAGTGCCTTGTTCAGGTTAGGACAAATTTACTGGGATAAAAAGGATCGGGGAGAGAGAGAAAGAGAGAAGGGAAGGGAAGGCGAATGAGAAAAAGGAAAACAAGCCCTGTTACCTGGTAGGTCCCAGAATATCTTGTAAGGTCTGCAGACTGTCTTGGAGCAATCCTCCCTCCTCTCCTAGGCAGCCTGTCTCACGAGTTTCTAGTCTCCATAAAAACACAAGAGCAGTGAGAGATGAAAAAACTGTCCACAAATTCTGTCCGCCAGATAGAAAGATGGTGTCCCCTAGGACTAGAAAAAAAAATGTGTGTAAGTTGCCTCGAAAAGCTGTCCTCAAAATGTGATGTCAAAGCCCTCAAAAACATCCTGAGGAAGAGGTTGTTTTTAAAATAATAGCTCTATTGCCTTTTCCCCACAACACCTCTGAAATGCTTTTGTGCAAAGCAAACTCCCTCCCAGAATTAGCAGAATAATGGTAACCCAAAGAAGCCTGCTCACATCTGCATCATGGCTGTATCCCATGCCAAGCCACCAGCTGTCTGCCACCAGCCCAAACAGGACCAACATGCTTCTCCGCCCCCCCCCCCGGGTTTCTTACGTGGAGTTCTAGATGGCAGTGAGGGCTGCACCCACGGCGGCTGTCCTGGTTCTGCTACACAAAGGACAGGTATCTTGTGGCTCCCTCTTATTTCACTGCCACACGCCCTGCCCTCAGGTTACTCACCTCTCACCTAAGGGGGAAATAAGGCTTAGTAGATTTCCCCATCCAAGAGGACTTCATTTCCTCAGGAACCAGGGAGACATCTGACCCACTCATGGTGAGATTTAGGAAAAGTGACAGATGCTTAACAGGTGGGGTCGGGAGAGGAGGAAAAGGGGTGCCCTGGGCTCCTCACACCACCCTGGCTAATGCCTACCCTCATCTTCACATCCTTCCCTCCCACCCTCCCCCTATAGTTGTTGCCTGACCAAAGAGTCTAACCGCCTGTCACCCAAGCCAATCAACTGAAAAGGAGATGAAATGAAAGTGAACAGTTTCACTTTCATTTATGAGAAAAGCCAGTAATTCCGTGAAGCTGTGGGCGTATCGCCCCAAAGAACTGCTCTGCCCTCCTCTTTTCCTTTGTTACTTTTTATTGTCACAGTAAAAGTGAACACCAGCAATATTACCACTTATCACCAGATATGTTAAACAGACTCACCCTCATAGGTTACGAGGTTATACAATATCTTCCTATCTGAAAGCATTTTTATTCTAAACTAAATTTATAGTTAGTCGATATTTTACTGTGTGCAGAGTACCCTGGGTCTTTGACAGGTACCACAGAGTCCAGTTCCCCAACTTACCTATGACAGTGGCCTTGGAAGTGAATAAACAATCTCCAAGATGTTGGCACATAGGTTCATCCAGTCTCATTAGGGCCTGACCAGTGGCACCCTGAATGAAATGGCCATTCAGGTTAACAGTGGCCACTACCACAGCCTCTGTGCTGTGTGGGGTGGGGGTCACCCTGAATGAAATGGCCATTCAGATTAACAGTGGCCACTACCAGCCTCCGTGCGGTGTGTGTGTGTGTGGTGGGGGGGGGGTGTGGGGGAGAAGGGGAGAGAGGGTCAGGACCTGGACCTCCTCTCTGGATACTTTCCCAGGTGAATGCGGCAGAGCTTCATCAGTTACTTGCATGTTTGAGTTCAGATTAATTTTTTAAAAGATACTATAAGCAGGAGAGTGAGATGCAGGTAATTCTTGGTTCTTTGCTTAGTCTGGAGAGGTGGGCAGTTATAATGCAGGCAACACACAATTCTGCAATGATAGCCAGGTTGACTTCCAAATTATTCTCCCATACTAAGCTTATAGTTAACTTTTCAGATAACAATAGCTCTTACCCTGAGATGGATATGGATGCATGCCCTTCTGCAGGAAAGGAAGAAAGGGTAAGGTTTTTTTTGTTTTTTCTTTGCAGTTTTTGGCTGGGGCTGGGTTTGAACCCGCCACCTCCGGCATATGGGGCTGGGGCCCTACTCCTTTGAGCCATAGGTGCCACCTGGAAGGGTAGGTTTTTAACATAGAATAGTAGACATTGTTTTTGCTATCTAAAAAAAGCAAGTATCTCTGATGTCTCCTTTTGGGCAGGGGAAAAAAACAGTGGCCTAAAGACCAACTCCCCTAAAACAAAAATAGGTATTTTTGGCAAATATTTATCAGCTCTAAACTGGATTATCCTGAATGGTTTTCTAACTGAAATTAATTTGTGAAGCTATCTTTGCATATATTTTGTAAATACTTGATATACAAGAAGGGGACATTGCTCAAAGGTAACCAGATCTACACATGTCTTATTGAACTTTCATGATTGAGGTAAACATGATGTTTTACCTGTTGTAAGATATTCAGGCTAGGCCAGATGCCATAACTCAGACCTGTAATCCCAGCACTTTGGGAGTCGGAGGCAGGCCGATCGCTTGCAGCCCAAAGTTTGAGGCTGTAGTGAGCTATGATCGTATCACGGTACTCCAGCCTGGGTGAGAGGGACTCTGTCTCAAAAAAACAAACAAACCAAAAAACAACCCATGTATCCAAAGCATAGAGAGACAGCTGTGGATCTTGATCAGCTACTTTCTGTGCATTAGAGAAAATGCAAATGGACCACTGAAAGAACAATCTTGATTCTGTCTTCAGGAGTTGCCTCAGCTGCTCTCTAGGCTGAGAAGGGTGGCTTTCCACTTGAGTCCATTGAATGCCTTTCCCTCTAACCTACTGGTTCATCCCTTTAGTTTATCTTCTGGTTGTTTTTCTCTGTTAAGTTACCTGTATTTTTCTTGTTAACCTGAGAAAGCCCTTTGTGTCACAGGTAATATGACCTCCTCTGTATCATCCCTGAGGAGGCCAGGGGTAGAGTCGGGGAGGGGGAGAAGGGTCTGTAAAAAGGAGAGGAGACCAGTCCAGGGATTAGAAAGGCTTTCTGAGAAGAGAGAAAGAAAGTGCAAAATAGAGTCTGACCAGGAGTCAGCTCAACTTTCATGCAGATTCATAAGACCTTTATTATTATCAGTAGAATTAAATGTGAGAGGGAGTGTTCCCAGAGAAAGTCATCCCTTCTGCAGAAGGACTAATTTTTGCACTTAGGGCAAACCTAAGAATTATTCCCTTAATTGGCTGCCAGCCCTGCCAGAGTAAAAGTTCCTGTTCTGTTGTTTTCCAAGAACACCGGCCTGCCTGGAAGCATTCAGGGGGTGGGCAGGAGGTTTGCTGTGACCATACAGTTTAGTTCCTGGCCTGCTCCTTCCCACCAACTGTCTCCCAAAATGGCTGCACTCTTGTCAGGGCCATGAGGATTTCTTTCCCACAGTCCTCATTTGCAACCCTTTTCTGTGCCTTTCCTTTCCACATTCAGAGTTTTATGACTCCTGGGCCTTCTCTTTTTCTTTCACTGTTAACTGGTGGAATTTGAGCACTGGCCCTCAAATGGAAGGTGCTTCCAATTGTTGGTGAAAGAATGATCTGCAGTAAAGAAGGGGGGAAAGTATTCTTTCCTCAGACACTGACAGAGAAAAACAGCAAATCTCTAGGAAAGAGTGTGAGATAACTGATGCTCAAAACTTGTAGCTCTGTTCTATGAAAATAACCTTTCCTCTCTAAAAGTCTGTAGAAGTATGTGGTTTTGTTTCACAATGTGTTTTCCTAATAGTGAGATGTAAGTTGAAATCAGGTCATTCCTAATAGGTCTAAATGTAAGATTTCTTGGATAAATCCAAAGGGAATTGTTGATACATCCCTCTTTTACCAAAGACATTCAAGTAATAAAATAAAATAAAACAAAATAGTCAAAGAGTTTGAGACTCTTTATTCTTTCTACCGTACCCTTCCGGGAATATTTTTCCTCTGTGGCCGCTCCATCTATGGGTGCCTGCACTAACCATTCTGGTCTTTGCACAGGAGATTTCCTCACTTCCCAAGTCTCCATTGTGAATGACTCCTCTCTAACTCAGACACTGACACATCCCGTTACTTCCAGGAAAAAAAGAGACATTATCTTCCCTGTACTCCTCGAAGCAGGCATAGTGGCTGGAATTGGCACAGACATTGCAGACATTAACACATCCACCCATTTTTACTACCAACTTTCCCTAGAACTTTACAAAGACATGGGAAGAGTAGCAGACTCTTCAGTCACCCTGTAATCCCAAATTAATTCTTTAGCTGCAGTGATTCTCCAAAATTGCCAAGCCTTACATTTAATTACAGCAGAAAAAGGGGGCATGTGTTTTGGGGGGAGAGGAATATTGCTTCTTTGTTAACCAGTCAGGAATAATTACAGGCAAAATAAAAGAACTCTGAGAACAAATCAAACAGAGACAGACAGATCTTAAATCAACCAATCCCTGGTCCTTATTCAAATCATGGCCTCCTTGGTTATTGTCTATAATAGGGGCACTAATTATGATCTTTGTCATTGTCAATTGTGGGCCAGTAATTCTTTGCCTCATCTCCCGATTTATTGACTAGGCAGTCACCCTAAAAACAACTGCTCAAATCTGTATACCTCAGGCCTGCAGATCAGTTCAGAGTGTTTTTTGTAAATCTTTCCAGAAAAGGGAAGCAAAAGCAAGCAGCTGGGCTTTTATGGTATTTTTCTGGTTAAGTCAGAGGAGTCTTAGGAGTTAAAGGAATTTACTAAGGAGATTGGACCAGATTTGGGAGAGGGAGCTCTTATGCCAGTGGCCCAGAGATCCAGAAAATTTGGGAGGGCAAAGAACAAAGAGTTGGAGGTAAAGAAAAGATGAATTTATAGCAGGTACTGGTTGTAACTTTTGTTCTGATTTCTGTTCTTTAATCTTGTTGAGGGTGTCCCTAAAGCTAGCTGCCATATTCCTTTTTGTCCTCTAATTTGTTTTTCCCATGGGTACCAATAAGATGTTTATGTAAAATGAGAGCTCTTAAAAAAATTCCTTTTAGATATAAATTCCAAATCATTAAAACTGTTGGGGGTCAGAGGTCCCAGTTCCCCCAACTCAGTTGACTTGGCTTGATTACTTGGTTGAGCAAGAAAGTTCAACAGAGGCACAGCAGGGGTTGAAAGAAAAACTGAGTGGAAACCGAAAATAAAACTGGAGCTGCACAGCCAGAGTGAATAGAATGTAAACATAACCTGTACAAGTTTTGATGTAACAAAGAGAGAAATTTTCTTTAAGAACAAAGGGAAAGTTTAGAGCACTTCCAAGGAGAGTTGGAAGTGGGTCCCTCTCATGATGGGAGCAGAGGTGAGAGAAACTGAAAGGTGTAAATGATGGTGCCCAGAGACAGGCAAAGTCCAGAGATGTTCAGGCCAGGTTTATTGAAAAGGGAAGATAAACTACCTGGGCAGTGCAAGGATGCATCCGCACCTGGTGTCAGTTAGAGACCACTTTTATATGGGGCCTCAAGGGGCAGGTGAATCGCACAGCTTGCTTGGAAAGTTAGGGCCCTTTGGCCGCACCTTCTGCGGTGGGTAGGGGGATGGGGGGGCGGTGACTAGCCAGATCCTTTGCCTCTTTGTCTTAGGAGAAGTAGAAGAACAGGAAGCTGGGAAAGGGTTTATGTGTGGCTGTGTTAGGTCTCCAACACAGATGGAGACACAAAGTCCATGAAGAGATATACCCTCTTTCTCTCCTTTTGAAATTGATTACAAGTCTTTCATTGGCCTTTCTGCTCTTCTGGGCATTATTGCCCTTTTCTATTGGTCATTAATTATTGTCTCTTTCTATTGGTCATTGGTTAC